AACACAAAGAAGCTTATTTAAAATTAGTCTTCTTAGTCAAGACAAAGAACTTTATTTGCTCTGTTCAAACCTACATATGGGTTTAATAATAAAACTTAACAGTTGAGCAGAACAAAGTTAATAAAGATCAACAATTTAATGTAGCTCACTTATAAAATAATCTTGTTTTAAAAACCGTTTTTTAAAGGCGTCTTCTCACAATCCTACGATATAATGAATACGGATGAGTAAATTAGATAGGCAATATATTAATTGCTTAGATGATGATAAAAATTAGAACAGTTTGTGAAGCAATAGTGCCGGTAACCATAAGATCGCACGAACAACCTGATATTTTTCAGTATAATTGGTAATGAAAATTCACTTCTTAGCTATCTCTTTATATCTTTCCATCATTGTGTTCATGGGTATATCATAATTTAAAAAAAAAACTAAAAACCTTGTCCTGAATTTTATTGTTGTTTATAAAATCTGCGCTTTATCTTTTTTGATACAGATGTATGTATTTCATTTCCTTTGTTGAAATCATTTAGTTAGAGAACTGTTGTTTAATAAAAAAAGAAGCACTATACTTGGACAAATAGGCTCTTTTTCAAAAATGCTTTTAACTGGACGTTCAGGAGAAAGAGAACCAATCAAACTGAACGGGCGAGAGGAATCAAAAGTGCAATTTTTCCCTGAACGTTCATTATACATGGTTCCTAAATGTTATTTCTGCAAAACGGTGTCTTGTCGACGACAGAATCATAAAATGAAAGAAGATAGTAAGAGTTTCTGTTCATGGAGAGAGAATATATTATCTTTCGGGTTCTTTGTGCGCAGAAATTCATATTAGAAGACCCCTTTGGAATATGATTTGAAATTTATAATAGAAGACCCGGGGTCTTTTATTGTGAGGAGGGGTTTACAAATCAGTAATATCAAACGTACAGAAGAATGTCGTTGGTTTCAAATAACCTTGGCTCTCATAAATCTGAAGACGACGAATGATATCGACGTCATCAATAATTGTTGTTGTATGAACATGTTTATCAGATAAGGGTCGAATGAGACGATCAAGAAATCTAGAAACAGTACTAGTTGGTGTTGTGATCGAAGAGACGATGGGTCTCAAAGGTGTTCCTTCCTCGAAAAAAAAGAAGACAAGATGATACTAGATAAATATCTGAAAAGAATTACTTTGTGTGGCTTAAGAATGAAATAGAGATATGCACGAATCTGATTCTTCGAATGAAGATCATTCAAGAGATGAACCACTTTATCCAATATTGGGTTGGTAAGAAATTTTTTGCGTTTTTTCTGAAAATTTTCTAGAACAGTCGAGAAAGTTCTAGAAGGTTCCATACTAAGGGTATATATAGGGAGTACGAATATCTTTCGAACAACAACAAAATTATGAATATAGACGTTGATCTTGATTTAGAAATGAAGATATCTCGTAGAGAACTTCGATTGCTTCTGCTTCATGAATTCCGTTTGGGTGGCAAAGCAACAGAAGCAACAAGCAGCATATATGGCACGATGGGCAAGGATGTACTCTCCATCCGTACAGCACAACATTGGTTCCATCTATTTAAGAACAGTAACTTCGAACTCGACGATTTGCCTCATACTGGAAGACCATTACAGGTGGATACGGATCTCTTAAAGCAGCTTATCGAAGAAGATCCTATATTGACTACACGGTGTTTAGCAGAGCGACTTGGGTGCTCTCATATTACAGTGGAAACACATTTACACGAATTAGGCAAAACGTGGAAATATGGAATTTGGATATCACATGAGTTGTCACCGCATCAGCTCCAACACAGAGTTGATGCGTGTATGGAATTATTGACATCTCATCGCAACTACCAATGGCTTCGCAATCTTATTACTGCTGATGAGAAGTGGGTGTTGTACATTAACTACGCTCACAGACGCCAGTGGCTGAGCGCTGGTCAAACAGATGCAGCAATGCCTAACACTGATCCACACTCTAAGAAGGTGATGCTGAGCGTGTGGTGGGGAGTCAATGGGATTATTCATTGGGAAATTCTTCCAAATGGCTGCACCGTCACTGCTGATCTCTACTGTCAGCAATTGGATCGGATTGCAGAAAAACTCAAAGGAAAGCAAGATCGAATGTACTTTTTGCATGACAACGCGAGACCCCATGTTGCAAAGTCGACGCGTCATAATTATTGGACCTCGGATGGGTCACTGTTCTCCATCCACCTTATTCTCCAGACTTGGCTCCTATGGACTACCACCTGTACCGTTCTCTCTCCAATCATTTATGTGAGAAAAAGTTCGAAGACGAGAACGATCTCAAAATGGATCTCTTCAACTTCTTCGACCAAAACTCTCAAGACTTCTACGAACAAGGGATCCTTTCTCTGCCAGAGCGTTGGCGACAGGCCATAGATAGTAATGGAGCATACATTGTTGATTGATAATTGTATTCTGATATTTAAAAAATAAAAAGAAAATTTTTGAAAAAAACGCGAAAAATTTCTTGCCAACCCAATATATTCTCAATCAGCGCAAAAAACTGTATCAACTGATATATAATTCGTTGAGTTTTGTTTTCTGCTCAACTTTTGCATTACGTGCACCTTACTTATTGTAGCTTCAATTCTGATATTAGTATCTTTACTTTTTGCTTTTTCAAGTTCAACATTGATTTCTTCGATTGTTTGATTTGTTGTCATAAAAATATCATCGATATATCTATAAGAATGAAAAATAACCGAATAAAAGTTTGGTTATATTAGAAATATTTTTCGTTTTCAACCTGCTTTCTACCAAGACGAGACAAAGATGTGAGAATGATTCTACTCGTGAAGAAAGATGTTATTTGCACACCTGACCAAACATGACTAATTTCACTGCTAGACTCGTTCCTAAAAGTGCAAGAACGCCTGTTTCTAAATAGGCTTGTAGATGTGCTTAAACATCTAGAAATACTACCAGATAATCAATCTGGTTTCCGTGCGAGACATCCATTGCAAACACTTGTTCTACTGTTAGTGGAGCAGATATACTCCAATATGTCAAACAGCTCATCAGTTGCTACAGTTTTTGTAGATTTTAAAAGTGTATTTGATCAGCTCTGGTTCGAGGGATGTTTAGGAAAACTAGTCCGAATGGGAATTCCGATAGCTTTTGTCAAATGGATCCGAGCCTGGTTAGAAGGCAGACAAGGCACAATAGAGATTCAGGAGAAACGATTCCGATGGTTTCCGATCTATCGGGGTGGACTGCAAGGATCTAGCTTAACGCCTACCCTGTTCATAACATATCATGCTGACATGGGAGACTTTGTACTCATGGCTATGTCTTTCTTTTTCGTCGATGATCTGGCAGCTGTTATTGCTGGTCAAATCTGGATTCGGTATACAGAACAATGCATGGATCTTGAACGAAGATTACACTCATTCTTTAACCACTTGGAATATTACTCACTGTTGACGGTTCAGCCGATTAATTATTCGAAAACTCAGATGACGTGGTCCGCACACGCAGTGGAGTGCCCGATGTCCGAACTTAAATGTGGTGATCATGCAATCGATTGGGTGAAATCATACAAGTATCTAGGGTACTCGTTGACTACAAAACTAGGTTGGGGACAAATTATTAATCGTATCCAAATTAAAATTCATCAACAAACGGCTATGATCAATTCTATCAGATTTGGTGGGGCAACATCACCATCACTTCGTCGAGCTCTTTTTTCAACATTTATGATACCTTTCGTCACATGGATCTATGCACTGTATCCTCTGCTCACAGATTTGCAACGATTGAATTTGAGCCATTTTTATTACACTTCACTTAAACGAGTATATCACTGTCGGTACTGGAATGATGTATTCTTCGCCTTCGCTTACAATGAACGTTCGCTTGATGGTCTGTGTTCTGCATACTGGACAAAATATCTAAAAAGACTTGCTAAATCCCTAGACGGGTATCTGTTACTAGAACAATCCTGCTTAAACGTGAATCGATCAAGTTGGCAGGAAGGTCAAATACCAATTCGATGTCTGTATCGCTCCAAACGATTTGTCGCGCATGCGGATGTGCAGGGTCGAGTCTTAAACTGGTTGTCGAATCATGGTACGTCGGACTCAATGGCATTCATCAACAAAGATGATATTAGATGTTTTGCTGAATTTCCAGAGACATTCTAGAATTTCAAGCTTCTTATTTTTAAAGTACAATATCTTCTCATCTCGAAAATATCTGTTGTTATAACGGTCTGCTTTGAGCATAATGTCTCTCCTATGCTTCGTCTCGCATGACGGTATCTCTATTTCTATTTCATTTTTGTTTTTCTATATGTATTCTATCAGATATATTTGTTACTCAGCAATTGTTCCTTTAGGATCATCAAGGTCAGAGGTTAAACATCGCAAATAATAATAAAAAAAAACATTTACGCAGTTCATAGTGGTTTTATAGCTATTCGCTTCTTCTTCAGTTACAGAAAAAAATATGTGAATACATCCATTTTGGGATGATTTGTTGAGAGATGAGATAGGTTACATGAAATGAGACCGAAATTTCGAGCTAACGGATTGCTAATGAACGAATTACAATTTGCAATTTCGCGTTCACTTTTCTCGATATATTGGTCATTGAGAAAACATAGCCAAAATTCTTTTCTCTGAATGGCTAAAAGTTATAAACTCGAACTCACTTCACACGATTCATCTCATCTCTCAACAAGTCATCCAAACGTCAATGTATTCACATATTTTTGTTTTGTTCAAAGAAGAAGCAAACAGCTATAAAACCACTATGAACTGCGTAAATGTCTCGAACTCCTCTGTATATAGATATGCTGCATTCTATTGTAATACGTCAAAATACTATAAAAAATTCATTTAAATAAGGGCGAAACTTTTGTCCCGCACTAATAGATAAAACAAATGATCATCGTGACTTTGAGTTCGTTTAATTTCTGTATATGTCCTGAAGAAAAGAACGATACTCTCGTACAGAAGTGACTAATTTCCTCACATGTCGCAACACAAACTCTTGTCAATAGTAAATTTTTGCACACGATGATTGCTAATATCGACTACATAGAGATTTCCATCGAGATCGAAAGATAAATCACCGGGATAATCAAATTGATCAGATTGGGAACCTTGGCCATGTCCACCGACGATGACACTGCCGGATTTAGCTCCGCGTGGCCATCGCATCACTCGGTGATTTTCTGTATCAGCCACATAGACAGTGCCCAATGTATCAACAACAACACCATCTGGAGATGATAATTGATTTTCACTATTACCTTGAGATCCTCCAGCAACAATCGAGATTTCTGTTGTTCCATCATCCACCTTTATCACTCGATGATTATATCTGTCGACCACATAGACAAATCGATTACGATCAACGAATAGCATGTGTGGAGCATTAAGTCCTGAAGCGATCACTTGCCCAATTGTCGTCTCGCCAACACGCCATTTTTTCACTTCATTTCTTTCCGTGTCTGACACATAAAGTGATCCTTGATCATCTTGTGCTATGCCATGGGCAGAAATATTCCCCAGAATCGTTTCTCCACTTTGAGCACCTCGAGACCATCGTTGAACGCGCCGATTAGCGTAGTCACTAATGTACATTGCTCCATTCTGATCAACAAAAACATCGTATGGGGAATTTAATTGGTCATCATGATCTCCAATTCCATTTTCACCTGCGACTACCTGACCACTTGAAGCACCACGTTCCCATTTGACGACACGATGATTATAATTATCTACCACATAAATAGTTTGATTTTCATCAACAAAAGATCCTTGAGGGTAATACAACTGATTGAGTGCAGGCCCGTGACCATTGCCGCCAGCTACAGTGGTAGCATTTTGAGCCCATGCTGCTCTGGCGCAAATACCATCACCAGGTCTTGGTGGAGCTAAATAAATGAAGAGAACAATTTTTTTTTGTTATTGATAGAGTTGAAATTTGATATCATTTTATAACTAAACGAAATATTGTGATTGATCAGTTTCGCGTGCACTATGTCGTAGACAGAGGCGAACAGTTGTTATCATACTAGAAGATTATTCTAGCAAAATTCATAAAATTGGAGTGAACATTGTCATACGATTTTTATGAATGGAACAAGTTGAGAAAAAATCCAGCAAAAATATCACTATTAATGATCGTTTTCAAATGAATAACAATTGTTCGTCAAACTGACAAATACAACTGTCATCATATAAATTCAATTTAGATTTCTTTGACAGATTAAACGATGGGAACAGTTAATAATTGGAAAAGTGAGCTCATCAAAATTGAGATAAATCGCAAGAAATAATCATTTATCTCAAAGAGTCCTGAGTATAATAACCAGAAATGTCGTTTACTCTTCTTTGATCTATTCCTGCATTCGGTACATATCTTCAGATTTTTAGAACGTCTGAAGGAGACAAAGAAAGTTATTTTAATCACACCTGAAAATCTTGCAAAGCCTTTTGAAAATTGTCAAGTTTTTCTAGAAATAGCTAACGTTCTCATTGAACTGTCACATTTGTTCCACATTCATCGAAAATATCTTCCTTGATAAGAGAGAGGTACTCAACTTCGTTGACGATGGTTTTGTATCTTTTTTTAATGCTTGGAATGCTGAAATCAATGTTTTTATTGGAGAAAAATTTATGTCTATTTTCTTTGATACGATAGAATGTTAATAAAGATTCACGTTCGACATCGGTTGTAGGCAGAGTTGCCACCTCTTCTGCTTTTAGCAGAAAAATTCTGCTTTTTGAAGATTTTTCTGCTTTTTTTCTGTCGTTTCTGCTTTCTGAGCACTTTTCTGCTTTTTTAAAATACTATATTATTTATATTTTTAATCAAGATTTTTGCTTTTAAAAGATTTTTTCATCATTATAACAAAGTTCTTGTCCATACTTACTAGAGATGTATTGAGAATGAATAGTGTCTAATAAGGATAACAACTTCTCTCTTGCAAAAATCCACAAAACTCGACGAGATTCTTATGGAGAATTGCTGAAGTTGATTTCACTTAGCTGTGCGTACAATCAAACAGATTGACTGATATTGAACCTTTTACTTTCTTATCGGTCTGGTTGGTTGTATGCATAGCTAGATGAAATCAAGCTAAGTAATTCTAAATAAAAATTTGATTGGATCTTGGCAATTCTGACAAAAGAAAACTTCTCATCTTTCTTACAGAATCTTCACTCTCAATACATTCCTAATAGTTATTGATGTTTATCTTCTATTCTACATGATGATAATTCAACAGTGAACAAAATTGTCAGATCCGATCAGTTACGGGTGTTTATTTTTCCTCTCATTCAATTACCACATTTTAAAAAGTTCATATATTTGTTTTATTCTCTATCATGTGGAAATGCTTATGCTGACTCAGCATTCTCAGAATTGAAACATTTATTATATGATCAAAGGACTACATGAGAAGAAAACTTATATCACCTGAATTAACAATACGTTTAAAGTTTTCCTTATCATTAATAAGATGTGTAAATATTTATTAGATAATCAAGATTTATTAAAAGCTACTTAACCAGATGACAAATATGTAGTCAATAGAAAATGTATCTAATAATTCTATTTGTCAATTAAGTAGTTGTATTTCTTGACCTTGTACAATCCTATTTCTTTATGGATTGACTATTTTTCATGATTCTGTACAAGAGAGATCAAAATTTGATATGAAAATTCTTCATTAGTACACTGGAACAAAGTTCTAAAATCGTTTACATCACAAAAAATATGCTTTCTGCTTTTTTTCTGTTTTTCAGTAATAAAATTTCTGTCATTTTCTGCTTTTTATAAACTATTTTCTGCTTTTTGGACTTCAAAAGGTGGCAACACTGGTTGTAGGTAATCTGTTGTTCTCTTACTTGTTTTTGGTGGACAGATTCGTTGATCAGCCATCGACGACGGATAACAAATCGGATGATTAAAGCATCGAGAATGACGAATACAAATATGATCAGGCTGAAAACAAAAATTATTGAAAGGACCACATGAAACCAGCTGAGAACAAGTCAACCAAAGAAAGCCACAAATACCACTTGCATTAGTAGCTGCCATTTGGAAACAACCGCATACAATATTTGTCGAACATTGACTGTATTGGGACATGCCGTGACATGTCTGAGTTTGAACTCGATCTAGTCAAAGACAGAATCAGTCGTTCCACAAGTGAAAAGAAGCGAAAATCAAACCTGGAAGGCTAGAGAAGAAATTCGTTGAGTTGTAGATCGATCAAAAAACAAGATATGTTAATTACCTGAAAACGAGCAAAACTAAGACGTGTATCATCGTTGTAATTCTAGTTTTGCGTTGAAACAGTAAAACATGAAAAAGCAAATTGCTCCTATCTTGTCCTTCTTTTAAAAAGCAAGTGATGTCTTCACGAAATATTTGTCAAGACATAAGTAGGAGTCGTTTTGTTATCTATGGTCAAACAAAGAGATACAGGTCTGTTAAGCATACGTTCGAGAACATGTTAACATATTTACGTGTTAAATATGCATCTCGTTAAAAAAAGATTGCTGGAAAATACGAGCAGAAAGTTGACGCGGGTGTGGGTGTCGATATGTACTGTCATAACAACCCACACCCACCGACACCCACACCCACACCCTCTGATGAAAGTTTGGCAGGATGCCTTAGTTGAGGAAAGAAAAGACCTTATAATAAGTTTTTAAATACTATTCAGTATCTCAATGTTTGTTCTATCAACCACATAAAAATCAAAAATTTCTACTGAATTTTCCTAGATTTATGATGGTTTTTCCGATAAAAGCGCATTTTTTTTTGAATGGAGAAAATTACCCTCAATACTTTATTCGATAGAGCAAGTGTTTCTTTGGAAGATTGTATGGTTACAATAAAATAGAAAATTTAAAACAAGCTGTGTAAACTTCAACCTACTAATAAAAGTACATGTGTAAGACGTATTATAATAATTGTTGTTATTGATTATAGAAATCGTAACTATTGGTATGTTGAGTTTATATAGCTTGTTTTAAATTTCCTATTTTATTGTAACTACACCATGTTGTAAAGAAATTCTTCCTACATTGAATGAAAGTATGTCTTTAAATGTTTTGATATAAAATAGAGATGTTATTTAAAAATAAAATCATATTTGTCCCCAAAAAATAAGCAGTAACGTACTCTATTCGAAAAAATGAGTCTTTCTTGGAACTCTAGGAAACTTAGGTAGAAGTTTTTGTTTTTTATATGGTTGATACAATAAACCTTGAGCTACAGAATGGTAGATATTTTGAAGAGAAAAATAAACGATCATAATGTCACTTGTCTTTAAAGACATTTTCACGTATTTTTTGATAATTTACTGCACAAAACTTCGTTAAAAACTTAACAAGTTAATGAGAAAAGATGTTGCATTTTTGATCATGAAAACACGTTAACTTTGAATTTTTTAGCGTGTTTTTAGGGTTAAACACTAACCAATTTTCATTTCACGCGACCTTGTTAAATTTACAATTATTTTTACGTAGGACGTACATATGATCTTCTTAAAATAAGTTTCGACAATAAGAAATTCGATATATCGCGACTTATACTAAAAAAAGAACTACAATGGCAAACATTTGACTCCATCCTTAATATAAGATATATCTTTCGTTCTCTTTTCCATTAATTAGAAATAATATTACAAATATTTGATGAAAAAGAACTTTCCTTTACATTTAGAAAATTATTTATAGAGTACGATCTTTGGTAGTAAATTGTAAAGATTTCATACTGTACTTACTCAATAGAATGAGGTATTCATTCGATAATCAATCAATACATAGCGAATAACGAAGTTCAAATATCCATTGTATGACTACTTTAAGATTAATTAGAAGTCAAAGAAAAACTTTCCAACAATAGAATTTGTTCATATTTTGAATAATTTCAAAGGACTACAGATCTATTAAGATTTCGATCTTTGACCGACATAAAATAGTTCATTTAATGCTCTACTCAGTCACCTTTTTTTTTAGGTCAGAAACTACATATCATATGACGAAGTGAAGTTGTATTCCTTTGCTACTGAAAAATTATCATTAATTTTAATCAATGTATTAAGCCGAGGTATTTTATTTCAAAAAATTTTTCACATCTAATGCATACTTCGAGAATCTATGGCGCACTATACGATTATATATACGCACGTAATTCGAAACTAATTAATGTGATTACACCTTCAGCTTTTTGTAATTACACCACTATCGTATATCCTGTACACAGCAAAAAAAAATAAAGAAATTTTACTTTCATTTATTATACAACGTACATCTATTAGGAAAACAACATGTCTAACTCAACGAATACACCAATGAGATTATCGCTTGATGTAGTACGAGCTTCGATAATTTTTCCAATAATGGACAAATACATGCTGATTGCATTATATATTGGTGGAATACTCGGTTCTTTACTCAATATTTTTACCTTTCGTCAGAGAAAATTTCGAAATAATTCATGTTCGCTCTATTTTCTTTCGGCTTCAATTACTGATTTCTTTGTTATGAACGCTGTTATTATGATTGATGCGTTAAGATATTTAAATCCACCATTATTTAATCGTATTCATTTAAACAGAATTGGATGTAAACTAAGCGAATATCCTATATTTCTTCTACCTTGTCTATCATCAACATTTATTACTCTTGCTTGTATGGATCGTTTTTGTACAAGTTCATATGATGCTCGACTTCGTAAATTAAGTCAAGTAAAAGTGAGTCGTATATTAATATCATTGGTAGTATTGATATGGGTTGTATTTTCAATACATATTACTTTTTTATTCGATATTATACCACCCACACCAACAAAATCAGATCCATGTAGAAGTCCATCAAATTTGTTTGTGCTTTCCTTAATTCTCGATGGCTATTTCTTTTCTATGTATAATGGTGCCATTGTTCCTCTATTTCTTTTGATTTTTGGTTTGTTGATCCATCGAAATGTACGACTAAGCCGTAGGCGAATTGCTGCAATATCGAATACGAGTAGCAATAGAACAATAATAGTGACACGTAATCCAAATTTAAATCGATATAATTTACATTTGATCACCATGCTCTTGATACAGTCAATTGTAACAGTTATTCTAAACATACCTTATATGACAGTCGCTCTCTATGGTTTCTATAATAATCCTCCAACTGATCAAATGCTTCTTCTTCTATATATTATATTTGTGTATATTGCACGATGGTTCTTTTTTTCAAACTATGTCAAAACATTTTACATCAACACTTTATCAAGTGGAATATTTCGAAAGGCTCTTATACAGCAATTTATCAATATCAATCATCAATTGATAGCTAGAATTCAACAGTAGACAAGATCCTGTAGTCTAATCATAAATATTCAATAGATTAGTTTTGATGTTTATATTACTTTAAAAATACAGAAATGATCGAAAAATAAGAATAACAAGGCTGGACTGTTAAAATCTCAACTTGTTTCGAACTATGTCGGACGAAAATATTTTACTAATGTACATGTGTGCGTGCTCAAGAGACTGTGTTGGTAGCCAACATGTGAATCGCTCACTTCATTAATGAACAAGTCTATTTCAAAAACTCGATAGTATGTCATTACAATAAATAGGAATCGTATCTCGCTCGAAAACAACGAGATCAATGATTGCTGATCTGTTATACTATCGTAATATATCTAGATTGATGTGCTCGAGTCAATTATGATATATCTGTTGTATGGTAAAATTTTTTCATTCAAAAACTTCATACATTTCCAATGTATTGAAGAATATTGTCAACATTATCAGCAGACATTGAGTGTTCTCGTTTGAGACAGCAAGTATTAGAGAGCGTCATCATATGTACATCATCTATCCTTCTTTCTATTATTTTTGTGACGTCATCATATATATATGTATTCTATATATATTTTCATTCTTTTGTTATGTGTGGATGTATATATGTTTCCATTGCTAATATATTCATTCGTATTCATTTTTTTCTGGTTTCTCTAAGTACAATATTTTGCAAAAATAATTCATCACTTTTTCTGCTACAAGATTACGTTTGATAGGCGTTAATAGTTTTAGATAATAGTATATTTAGTTATCTATTAGGTATATATGATATATAGATCTGAAACATCGTTCCATTGAATTGGTTTATGGTTTCATCTTTGATGATGGCAAAAATGAGTGCATCAAAACCCATTATAATACGAAGAGTTGGCAAGCTGCTTGGAAGTCGTTAATCAATCATCAATTATTAAATGATGACAATGGAAGCTTTCCGAGAGTGATATTAAAGACATGTTATCTCTTAGAAAAATTCAGCGAGATAATCAGTCGAAATTCAGTGTAGATTAACGTAAAAAATATCGACGACATTTATGAAATAAAGACATCGACAGAGTACAGAGTGGCCATTTTTTTAGCATTAGAATATGTGGTAAACTTGCGTGGGTGTGGATGATTTTTTCTTTACACCCACACCCATCTATATATATCCGTTGTTTTCCAACAATAAGATAGTATATTTAAATACAGGCTACAATAAAACATCTCTGGACTAACAACTGGTAAGTGGCCGACAACGATTTCCAGAAGATGTTTGAGCTATAGAAATCTGAATTTTTATCAGTTAATGTTACTTGATCGATTTTACTTATCGTAGACCATCTTGTCTACCACTTTATCATGCGTTTGGCGTACTACACATTCTTTTCGAAGTGATTTTCATTCATTGCATTCATTGTCCCATCGGAATACTACTATCAATCGTCAAATACATCATATTTTCCTAACTTTCTTACCTTTTCTCTGGTACCCGATGATTATGACTTTATCCCTTTTTCACACAAAAGTATACGCAAGTCGCAACAATGTTAGTAACAGAGCTGCCAACAGGCCAAACCAGGCCGAATAGTGTTTATGATTTTTCAGATTAGTAAATTGACAGTTTGTCAATAACCCAACTAAGCACAAGATGAACTGAATGATTCGTCATTTTTCTAGTCATGTCGATCCGTCTTCTTAGTCTTTGTTTCAACTTTGACTAGGACATGACTAGTCTAGGAGTTTT